AGGCTTATTGTTTTGCTGTTTGTGTTTTTATATGTAGATTAAATAACACTACATTTAGCATTTATACATTAGAATGTTTCTGTCTAATACTATCTCTGAAATCCCAAATTGTGAGCTTTGCCAATATAGCTCAAACACATCTGCTTCTCCTCATGTTAGCCTTGATTGGGTTAAATCCTTCAGTGATCGACAGCTGATGTCAGTCCTGCCTCTGCTACAGCTCATGATAATGGCCCCTGGTCCATCATCAAGGCCGCAAAATAATACAGTGGAGAACCACTCAACCAGATCAAAATGTGTATGTGGGGGAGCGTGTGCGATGCTAAGCAGGAAAGCCCATTAACATTCATCAGTGGGATAATAGGCCAGCATTAATGTCAGCTGTTTATATGAAGAATAACTCATAAGGCCTTGGTGTATATGGGCTGATAAAGCATGCTTTTCTCCACGCCGCATTTGGCAGAGTGTGTGTGTGTGTGTGTGTGGGTGGTGAGAGATTTAGGGGTAGACGCTACTGATGTTTTAGATTGAACCGCTTGATACTGACGTGAATTTATTGACTCGTTAGATAAACACAGGACAATTGCCTGATGTAACTATGGGCCAGCCGTCCTTGTCTTACTACGTAGGCTGAAAGTCTGCACAAAAGAAGCACGAAAGCACCAAAACGAGCACAAATCAATACATTTTACCAAAGCACCTGGGAGAAGTGATGTAAAATAAAATCTTAAGAGAAATCAACCCTGAATCCATTGTTGATCCCCTGCGGCTAAACTTCAAACTCATCCAGCCTGAGAATACCAGAGTCACAGATTGTCTAGTTAACTCCCCCGTGCACCTCCTTGGCATTTTAAGCACAGGAGTCAATGTGTTATTTTATTCAGCCTGACTTTACATTTTTAATTTATAGCATGAGCTGGGAAGGTTTGCTTAAATATGAATGGTGAAGCGAACGCACTATCCAGAGCATGCCAAGTTAAGAGCTGCTTCACACACATCGACCACGCAACTAAAAGATAAGTACTTCAAATTGAAGCTATTGTATGAAGTTAAGAAATGACGCTGCTAAGACACCTATGCGCATATAAATACACAAAGTAGTTGCGTTTGTGTATTTTGTTCCAGTGAAAAGAAAGAAATGAGGATGACGCCCGCTCTTCGGTTTCTTTGTTTTACTTTTATCTTAACTCATAAAGTAGAACGATAAAAACACAGCAGATAAATAATCCACGATAAACAACAGCTAATTGGTGTGTTTTTACCAAAAAACCTTGGCATATCTGTACGTGTTTGTGTGTTTTTATGTGCGTGTGTACACTCATTATCGCTGCCGACGCTTTAGCACTGATCACAGTTCTTCTTAATTAACCCACGCTGTGTATTTTTATCTCGCGATCCAATGCTGCTGTTTTGCTCGCCCGTCGCACAAAGAAGACAAAATATTGAACCGTCACGTGTGGGAGGGAAGCCAGCGATCGAGACTGCGATACAGCGAGTGCAGGGAAGGAACAACCGGGCGACAAGGTGCGACTTTGAAACTTATACTGTGTCACCCCTAATGAGAGGATTTGCGCTTTGTGACTCAACTTAGTCACACGGCTGTCAGATTATAAACACTCAGGTGGCACCGAGGATTAGCCACGGTGAGGGTGTCGTGGCGCTCCTGCCGTTAATCATGAAATATTTACACGACTCCACCGCTATATGTCATGTTCTTAAATAATAATCTCTTTTTTTATATTTACACTATACTTGGTTGATAACTATTAACTTGAAAGCTTTATCTTGGATTTAGGAGGCTTCATATTTTGAACAAAATCCTGTTCTTGAGCTGTTTGCATGTATACGTGCCCTCTTGGTAAACAGTATGTTTTCAACTCCAGCTATTTTTACAATAGCTTGATTGTAGCATCCCTGCTTTCAATAGGTGCTCATAATGTTTAGTAAGAGAAAGAATTCCAAACACAACCATAATGAGACTACAGAGAAAGAAGGAAGACTTTATCGTCATTCGAGCATCTCACTCTTTTTTTCCTCACCCTTTCTCGGCTCTTTTTTTTATTCTTTAATGGGCCGATTAAACACCATCTGCATGAATCAAAGCAGGTAGTTGAGGTACAGACCGGCAGACAAACTGAGAGAAATCCTCTTCACATCAAGCTCAGCATGTTCGACACTTCCCAAGGTCATTTCCACCCTCCCTGCAGAGAGCCTCTGTCACTTTTAATAACTTTTAAAGGGAGAATATTTTTTCGCCTCTGACAGACTGAGGAGTTGAGGGACCAGTCACAGGGTGAGTCGATCGCAAAGTGCCGACAGAGCGAAGAGGGTGTGAGGCGAGGAGACAAGCCTGCAAGGACTAACATTGTACGCTTTTACTTCGTGAAAAAGTATTGGACAGAAGTCTGATGTCAATCATTGACCTGGTTCTAAATTGGATTGGGCAGCGAGCAGTCGCTGTCACTGTAAGAACTCTGTTATCAGTCGCAGCTGTGACTGATGGTCAGATATAACGAATCATGCATACTGTGAAAACACAGGGGTAAACTATGATCAAGAAACGCTGTGTAGTTGATGCCAAATCATGCATCAGTAAAACAGTATTATTAAATAATACTCCTACTTAATAGGATATATAACTAGTGTATAATCTGCTGTATAATTAGAGCAACGGGATTTCAATGTGGACATGAAAACTAGAGTACCGCTACCTTTTTACAGAGATACACAGCCTCAATTTCTCCTCTCCACAAAACAAATCCCCACGTTACTGTAATCACATTACACTTTTCTGTAACACAGTAATGTAACACATTACGATACAAAATTCAGTAATTATGTCACAGCTACTTTGTTACTGGCATTACAAAGGTTTGTCAGTTATCTACATCAGCGGTCCCCAACCCCCGGGCCGGTACCGGTTCCGTGAGTGGTTTGGTACCGGGCCGCGAGAGTTGAGGCTCAGGTGTGAAAT